AGTTAAGTTACCTTGAAGTGCACGTCCCTGCCTGCTACTCTTTTTATTTTTCTGAAATCAAACAGGAAAAAAAAGAGCATCTTGGGTATTGTCAATCGGGGAGAAAAATCAATCTTTTTTTCCATCAAGAGCTTTGTTTGTCTGGGTTTTGATTATGGGGTCTTTGGGAGGGGTTTAGGGTTAGGGGTTTAGTTTGTAGCTGAGTTTTGGGATATGAAACAGAAGGGCAGCTCAGATTTGGTGAGTAAAGTGGTGGTGGTGGCTGTTAAAGCAGCAAGGGAGATCCCAAGGACTGCTCTGGTCTGGGCTTTGACTCATGTTGTTCAGCCTGGGGATTGCATTAAGCTGCTCGTGGTTATTCCTGTCCACTCCTCAAGTAACTTGCTTTTCCTCTTTATCTTCTTTCACTTTTACTTGTTCTTTCTTTACTTTTTTGTACGATGATTGAAATCATTGAATAGATTTGGGGGATTGCCTTTTAATCTATGAGGAAGAAAAGTTTAGGAGAGCTCACTTTGTCCATCTATGTACATGGCTGTTATGGAAAATGGAATTAAGCCTTAAGACGCCAGTTTGAATAGATTTTAGTGAGCTTGTGGTGAAATTGCCGAATACTTGGGGTGTTTGTTGGCACATAAGTCTTAAACCGGTGATGCTCGATTATCGTTACGGCTGAGAACATGGTTCTACTGCATTGCTGATGATAGCTTCATGCATTCTCAGGTAAAAGGATGTGGGGAATTTCAAGGTTTACCAGTGATTGTGCCACTGGTCATTGGAAGTCTCTCTCGGGAGCTGCTAATTCGGATGCAAAACAAGATCTTGCAGATTCATGCTCCCAGATGATTTTTCAGTTGAAAGATGTTTATGATCCCGACCAGGTTTGTGGATTACATTATTTTTCAGATTCTTCTTTGGTTGTTAAATTCTTTGTTCTTGGAATTCAGTTTTTAAGTTATGTTTACAGGTAAAAGTCAGGATAAAAATTGTTCCTGGATCGCCGTACGGAATAGTCGCTACCGAGGCCAAGAAAGCTCAATCGAACTGGGTTATATTGGATAAGTAATATATACAATGTAAACTTTGTTTACTTCGGTTTCCTTTCGATTCTTCTATTTTTGTTCAATTCATTATTGTTGCTTTTGAATCCTTGCACAGACACTTAAAACATGAGAAGAAACATTGCCTGGAAGAGCTGCAATGCAATCTTGTGGTCATGAAGCGATCTCAGCCGAAGGTTCTTCGGTTGAATTTGGTTGGATCACCGAACATGGCGCCTCAAGTGGCTTGGCCATCATCGTTTGAATCAGAAACATATCATAAACGTAGGGAAAGCAAGCACGATCTGTTAGATGAAACTAAAGGTCCGTTTGTGACTCCGGTCAGTAGTCCCGAGCGGGAATCATCCATGACCACTACTGATATCGGAACTTCATCGATATCAGGCTCAGATCCAGGGGCATCGCCATTGTTGCTCCCTGGGGTATATGAAAGTTTGAAGAAAGATTATTCATTTATCACCGAGGAAAGACAAAGTCTGTTTGAATCTGATTCGGACTCTGAAAGTGAGCTAGATCCTCATAAAACCAGATCCTATTTCTCTCCATGGATGTCTGGCATTCGTGGTTCTAGCACCGACTCTAAGCTTCTTGGCAAGGATTTACGAAGACTGAATGATTCATCTCTAACTTCAACATATAACATTTTGTTGGATAACTTATCTACATTGAATAGAGAACCTGATGTCGGGGTCCTTAACTATAGGCTCGATCTGAAGGTCAGCAAAAGTGTGAGGGAAGCTATCTCATTCTCAAGGAATGCTCCTCCCGGACCTCCTCCATTATGTTCGATATGTCAGCACAAGGGACCCGTGTTTGGGCACCCTCCAAGGTGGTTCGCTTATGCTGAACTGGAACGTGCAACAAATGGCTTTTCGCAATCGAACTTCTTGGCTGAAGGCGGATTCGGTTCTGTTCATAGAGGGATCTTACCAGATGGTCAGGTGATTGCTGTAAAGCAACATAAGTTGGCTAGTTCTCAGGGTGACCGAGAATTTTGCTCAGAAGTTGAGGTGTTAAGTTGTGCACAGCATCGGAATGTTGTAATGCTGATCGGATACTGCATTGAGGATGGAAAAAGATTGTTAGTTTACGAGTACGTTTGCAACAGGTCTCTGGATTCTCATCTCTATGGTAAGTTCACTTCTATTCTAATTCACCCTATTGCTCGCTGATCTTGATCATGGAACTGCTATGCAAGCAAGTAGCTATATTAGCAAAGGGAGATTGTCCTATTGACATTGAAACCATTGTTCGATTGACTAACATGAGTTCCCTGGAATGTCCTTAAGTCATGACATTGTATGCAACATTTAATCGGTGGATAAATATGCTTGAAGTGTATACAATCACGATCAAAACCGTCTTTAATGAAAAATGCTGCCTAGTCCTTGAATATGCACCTTGTCCATGATCATTGATGATTTCTTCAAATAGGTAATTTAACCGAGATATGGGAAATGTTCAGGGAATAATCACGACACATTGCGATGGTCTGCACGACAAAAGATTGCTGTTGGAGCAGCCAGAGGATTGAGATACCTTCATGAAGAATGTAGAGTTGGTTGTATTGTACACCGTGATATGCGGCCCAACAATATCCTCGTCACCCACGATTTTGAACCTTTGGTATGTCGAATCTTCTAAGCTGTTCGTCAACAAAGTTTCAATTTTCCTTGATCAGCTGTTTGTTCTTCTTCATGCTTATCTCATTCAAGTCTGAATGGTCTTCTCTTTGTATCAAACTTTGGGCACACATAGCATATGACAAACTGTGAACTAACTATTGCTTCTTGACCATATAGGTCGGAGATTTCGGGTTGGCGAGGTGGCAGCCAGATGGAGACAGGGGAGTGGAAACTAGAGTGATCGGACGATTCGGGTACGCAATAGCTATTTAATTCCTTGCTACTTGAATTATCTAGCAAGAACAAACATATTAAAAACACCCTTCTTGGTAGGTACTTAGCTCCAGAATATGCACAAAGTGGGCAAATCACAGAAAAAGCTGATGTCTATTCCTTTGGGGTGGTAATGGTCGAGCTGATCACTGGACGAAAAGCTATGGACATCGGTCGTCCGAAGGGACAGCAATGCCTCACAGAATGGGTGAGGGTTCGATTATTTTAGGTTACAAACTCGTAGGAGTTGTCCGAATTAATTTTCTCATCGATTCTAATTCGGAGCAGGCACGCCCTTTACTAGAACGTCATGCCATAAGGGAACTTGTCGACCCCCGCCTGGGGAACAGCTACGCCGAGCAAGAGGTTTACGGCATGCTGCAATGTGCCACCTTGTGCATCAGGCGGGACCCTCATACAAGGCCTCGCATGTCTCAGGTTTGCAGAACACATTTATTCTATGATACAAGGCCTCGTATGTCGAACTTATAGTTTCGTTTTTACGTCGTGAAGGTACTTCGGATGCTGGAGGGGGACGTCATCACAAACTCGACTTCCGATGCATGAATTCCTGCAGATCGTTGAAGTGTCGTGCATCCGACGAGCTGCCGAAGCTGTTAGATTGAATATCACAGCATCATGAACTTGGCAGAAAATATTGGTAGCTACACAATGTACAAGGAGTAGATAGTCAACTCACTCTTGAATATTGAAGAAGGCCCGAGGCAAAAATTGGTTGGAAATAATGTATTTTATCTATGGTATAGATTTCATTTTAAGGTCACACTCGTAAAAATGTAAAATTTGAGGGACTATGTTGTAAATCACATTAATTTTATCCTAATGTATCGTATAAATTATGAATTGAAATTTGATTCGATTTTGATAGTTTTCGATATGATAAAATCTAATAGTTTAAATTAGGAGTGAGTAAAACTTAACTTGAAAAATCGATTTTTTTTTAATTTCAAGTTATTTGAATTAACTCGAATTATCAATTCGATTTTCAAGTTTTAGTCGAGTTGATTATGGGAAATTTCGAGTTGCTAGAAAAATAAAAAAATTGACTTCGTATTTTGATAGTTTTACGCTTTAGTCATTAATTTCATTATTCTATCAATTCCTTCTTCACTTTAAGTCTATTTTTAATTGAATTTGAACAGCATATTCTTAAACCATCGTAGAATACATATATACATTCAATTTCTCTTTTCAATAAGAAATTTTTTCTTTTTCAATTTAGTCCCTCAATTTTAATTCTTATTTTTATTATAAAATGTACTCTCCTTTTCTATTTAGACCATTAACATTGCATTTTACTCAATTTGATCTTTTAACTGTAATTGTTTGTACATTATTTCTTCTTATCGATTCCTTGACTCTTATATACTCACATTAATATTTTACCCTCAAAATGAAGAAAAATATAATATTGTGTATATATTTTATAATATAAGATTATTTTTATATATTAAATAACATTATAATGTGAAAATAATATGGAATATATAGATCTTATATGGTTGGAGAAAGTTGAAAAATTAAAACAAATCCTTACCAATGTTACCATAATACTATAAATACTAATAATAAAATTAGCATAGAAACTCGAATAATTTGACTCAAATTTCTTAAACGTGACTCAACATGAAAAATTTAAAGTTAAATTTGAGTTCTAAAATATGACTCCTCAAGTCGAGTAACTCAATTTTTTTAACTCGACTTGATCGAATGCATAATATTAAATTTTATTTTGAAAAAAATATAAAAATATATATATATATATGTGACCAATGTTGTTTACCTAATTGTTTTTGCTTAAAATAATCGAAGTATATCTCCATCCGTACATGGAGCTCTGTCGGATAAATGAACGGTCGAGATTAACAGCGAGCAGTGGTACGATACAAAGGGATAGAAAAATCTGGGATGAAGAAGACAAGACAAGCCAAACCTCTTTTACACGGCTGGAAGCGCGGCGATCGTGGCGGCTGAAGCCTGAAGCTTTTCTCTTATCATCTCTCTGTTAAAGTTCAAGTGAAGAAGAAAAAACGAAAAAGAAAGAAGACAACAAATAGACGGGATCGGCCATCGGCAAACACTGAGAGCGGCAATCTATGAATTCGCTGCTCAAGTTTCGAAAGCCATTAAGCTCTTCTTTCACCTCATTATCCTTGCAACGCTTCTCTTCAACTCTCAACTGTAAACCCTTTTTTCTCTTCACCTCTTTCACATATATATATATATAAACACACCATGGGAATTGAACAGCTGATTAATTCTCTCTGATATTCGAACAGATGTTTTCGAGGAGAAAGAGGAGGCGACGAGCTTTGTACACCCAACTTCAATTGTTCATCCCAATGCTGTGGCCAGGTGCTTTGTTTTCTATTAATTCCCTTAAGAGGCATTTGCGTTTGGGTATCTGAAATCTATATGATTTGTTCGATTGTTAAAGCTAAGTTCTTTGTTGGCTGTGTACTCTGTTGTAATGATTTGTATTTATGAGTAAAATTTCAAAATTGTAATGGCACAGGGTGTTTCAGTAGGTCCTTTTTGCACAATTGGTTCTTCTGCAAAGCTAGGGAACGGATGTCGATTGCATCCTTTGAGCCATGTTTTCGGACATACAGAATTGGGGAACCACTGCGTTTTGATGACGTGAGTTTACTTTGGTCGTCTTCCTTTCACTGCTTTGTGAGGCTTTGTTAGAAGCATGCATGTTTTATGTTGTAATTTATGTAAGTACTAAACTTTATCAGGCAGTGGTGCGGTGGTCGGTGATGATATTCCCGGGCGTACTGTAATTGGATGCAATAACATCGTCGGCCATCATGCTGTGGTTGGTATCAAATGCCAAGATATGAAATACAAGGTAACTTGTCTTATTCGGCTTTTCATCGGTTAGAAGCATCCTACGTGTATGGTACAAGTGTTAAGTATTTTCGAAAGATATGACTACTTTCCATTGCATTTTTGTGCTATTAGTTAGGGGATGAATGTTTTCTTGTTATTGGGGACAACAATGAGATCAGAGAATTTACTTCAATCCACCGATCTTCAAAAGCATGTGATAGAACGGTAAATACTAATATATATAATAACCACATTTGTTTTCTTATATATTTAGTCGGAAACGTATATATTATATGGACGTTTTATTCCCTTATCTAACTAGCTATTGTATCAGGTTATCGGCGACAACAATCTTATCATGGGATCTTGTCATGTTGCACATGACTGCAAAATTGGTAACAATAACATATTTGCTAATACCACTCTCCTGGCAGGTCATGTCATCGTGGAGGTAAGGCTTCTTAATGTTTGTTGAAGTCATTCTGTGTATATCTATCTCGTAGACAACAAGTCTGCTTAAAATTTGATTCGAGTGCTATAATGTAGGATTATGTGCACACTGGAGGAGCAACTGTTGTTCATCAATTTTGTCATATTGGCTCGTTTTCTTTCCTTGGTGGTGGATCTGTGGTATGATTTTTAGTTGCATAAATGCCCTTCACTAAAAAGGTTGCATTGAGTCCACTAGTAGCATAATCCACCCGTAGACCGTAAGGACAGTTCGATCATATTGCTGAAGACTTTTAAACATTCCTTTTCATTTGCGAAAGAACTGAACTCTGTTTCCCATATTCATTTCCATGCATGAAGGTTTCGCAAGATGTCCCGAAGTACATGATGGTTTCTGGAGATAGAGCTGAGCTTCGTGGTTTGAATTTGGAGGGTCTTCGGCGTTGTGGATTCCAAGTCACAGAGGTTGTTGGAAAATTCGAATCTTATTCCGATTGCTTAACTGTTTAGTTTTATTTATCACCCTAGATAGAAAAGACTTCAGTGTAAAAGGATCGATTTTGTTAATGTAGTCTTCTACTGGTTTTTCATATCATTTTCTTCTGGATTTTTACTTTGCTTTCTTTTTCCCTTTGTGCAAGGTTCTAGATTAAGAGTCTGAGAACAGCTTATAGAAAAATTTTCATGCCAAGCGACACAAATTCTATGGGTTTCGATGAGCGTCTCTCTGAAGTGGTACGATCTCTCTTAGACAAATACGAACTTAGATTCATGTACAAAGAACTCAAGCCCTATATTAACTTTATAGGAACATAATGAAGATTTGGGCAGCATTCCTGCTGTATGTTCCATGCTCCAGTCCATTCGTGATTCTTTCGCCGGAAATCGCCGTGGAATATGCAAATTCAGACAATGGAGCCGTTCTTGAAAGCATTTCCAGAGTGAGTTTCAGTTTAGCTTTGTTCTTTGCATGTCTGTGTATATATTCTTTCGTTCACTGCAAGCTATACGTTTGCCGTATGAAAGTTTTTAATGGCATTCAAACTAGACTAAGACCTTCAGCTATACATCTATGTAGTTTACAAAATTCGATCACTGCTTCGGAACCGATGCGGTTAGACTTACTTTCCGGTGTGCTTATGCAGATCTTTATGACAAATGTAGCTTTCCGAGCTTTGTATTCTAACTGTAGCGTAGCGTGTGCTGTCATGAGCCAATCCAAGAAGTTTTAGCTTGTTTCGTGAAGGTTTGATTTGTGGTTCTCTGATATGTACACATACACATTTCGACTGCGGCTGCTATTGTTTTAACCCATGTTACCTAGACTAGGGAGTTTGTGTCGGACACAATCACCTAGACCAGGGAGTAAGTGTCGGACACATCTGTGTTGTGTCCGACACATCTGTGTTGTGTCCGACACGAGTGTACTCGATTTGTTTTCAAGTATTTGATATATTCAGATTATTGTATCCTCCTATCTATGTCGACATTAGTACAACAAACAAAATGAAGATTCCCGGTGAGATAGGGTCAATTGACTTGGTTCTTCATTTTTAGTTAAATTTAGCCGAGCTAGGATCAAATATTAGGAAGGGTAATTTACTATTAAAATCTACAAAATGATTATGCCACTATAGAATGTTGTTTTGTCAAATCTCGTTTCTATTAAAAGTTACAAAAATAGTCACATGACTATTCATTATATTTCAAACTTGTTTTTTTCTGATAAAAGATTGACGATTATTTAAGTTGGACGTTAACATAATGACTAGGATATGATAATCGTTTGAGATTCTGTGATCAAGTTTTATAATATCATAGTCAACAAATTAACGTTCAGCTCAGAATATCGTCTATTTATTTAACGAAAAAATACGAGTTTGGAACATAATGAATAGTCAAGTAATCATTTTGTAATTTTTAATAATCAAGGGACTCAACAAAACAACACTCTATAATCAGAGGATCATTTTATCATATCATAGTCAACAGATTAACATTCAACTCATAATATCGTATATTTTTAACGGAAAATAACGAGTTTAGGACATAATGAATAGTCAAGTAATTATTTTATAAAATTTAATAGTTGAGGGATTTAATAAAGTAACACTGTATAATTAGATAATCATTTTATAATCTTTAAATAGTTGAAGGATTAAATAAAGTAGTACCTTATAGTTGAGGGATTATTTGTGTATTTTATCCAATTTTTTAATCGGATTGAATATAATACAATAAAAATGGGATTAATAATTGTTATCCCCCATCTCACATAGTTATCATAATAACATCATGGACTTGCTATAATAAGTTGTTTATTTTCTAGTCAAACAAGATTAGAAATATATATGTAAATTATCATATCATATACGAGAGATTCTATCGATAACCGTTGGTCTAATGGATGAAATATTAGATTTTTTAAGCAATATTAGAGGTTCGAATCTTTATCCTTACGAATGGAGTAAATTGAATTCGGAAGGTTGCCCTCACTTTTATGATACCCGGTTCGGATTAATCAATTAGTAGATCGAAACTCATTGTTTACAAAAGAAAAATACAAAAAAAAAACGAGAGATTCCACTTTTGTGATACATGCCAAGTAAGTGTATGTAAATGGTATTGTTTACCACGGGACTAATAAATTCCTCAACTTGGCCTGTGGATGTTACCCATCATTAACCTAATATCATTAAAGTAATCAACTCGGTCCATTATCTTATAAATAATATACCATATAATTGACAAGTGGTAGTTGTGCCACACATCTAGCCAATATCATATACTATTTGGTTTATCTTATCGTATTACATAAGTTATTATTTAAAATCCATTAAAAAATCTAATTCGATCGACCCAATTCGAAATTTCAATATAAAATTTCTAATTCCATAAGATCGGATTAAAACCCGTCTAATTCAAATTCCATGCTCATCCTTAATAGCTACATGAGTTTCGGCTATATTTGAAATTGAATTGATCAAATGTTATGTAAATATAAATTTCTCTCAAATTCCATCCGTACTAATCAATCCCGAAGTATAGTTTAAACGATATCAAACTCCCTACTACTAAGAAACTTATCTAACAAGCATTAATAAATACTCGAATTTAATATTTATCTTCAAATCTAAACAACATATATAAATAATCAATCAATTAATTAATCAAAGTTTACTTATACGGGAAAGGGAATATACTATTCTTTCCTTTTCCAATCAATTAGTACCAAATGGTATCTTTGGCGAAGAATATGGGCTGCAATCGTAAATAAAATATTCATTAAAAAAGAATAAATATCAATTTGAACCCTCTTTCTGTTTGCTGCCAGTGTTTTTGAACCGTAGTTTTAAAATGAAGACCATTTTGGTGAGATTATATAAAAAGGGTAAAGTATATAAATGTACCCGACTATATGTATTATTTTATTGAGTACTTCGACTATTAAAAGTTATAAAATAATCACTTAACTGTAAGTTATTTTTTTATATCCCATTACTATTAAAAACTACAAAATGATCATCATACTATTCTCGTCCTTCTACTTTAAAAAATAGTGGCAATTTGAGGGAGACGTTTACATGTTAACTGATATATGATATATTAAATCGGTAACCGAATACATAGGGGAATATCAGCATACTTTACTCAAGAAAATATCCAAACAAGTCCATCCAAATCCAATCAATCTCTCTCTAGCTATGCCTCCGTTCTCATGAACCCCACCTTTTATATCCATCATATTACATTTCATCAAACACGTCATTTCTTTTGACTTCCATCTCTCTATCTCTGTACTTCGATATCCGTTGGTTTTTGTTGGTCTGAGAATTTGGTGTAAAGCTCTGCAGGGAAGGAGATGGGCAGGAAGTGCTCACATTGTGGGAACATAGGCCACAATTCCAGGACCTGCACCACTTTCAGAGGCACTACCGGCGGCGGAGGACTTAGGCTCTTTGGTGTTCAGCTGCAACTCGACATATCTTCTTCTTCGTCATCGTCTGTTGCTGCTGCTGCTGCTAATTATATGACGAAGAGTTTCAGCATGGATTGTTTGTCTTCTTCCTCGGCCTCGCCTTCTCCTTTGTCTTCCTCTCGAGTTTCTGTCGACGAAAATTCTGATAAAATCTCCGCCGGTTATCTTTCCGATGGCCTCATGGTCCGATCTCCCGAGAGAAAAAAGGGTACGTATAGAAACTATAAGTATATATATATATATATATATATATTGTTACCGCTATATAACGATCGCTATTTAAATATGTCCGTATGGTTTGGATGTTAAAATCAGGAGTTCCATGGACGGAGGAGGAGCACAGGATATTTCTAGTAGGGCTCGAGAAGCTAGGGAAAGGAGACTGGAGAGGCATCTCTAGAAACTTTGTTACCACAAGAACTCCAACACAAGTTGCAAGTCATGCTCAAAAGTATTTTCTCCGACAGGCGACTCTCAACAAGAAGAACCGACGTTCTAGCCTGTTCGACATGGTACGTTATCGGTCCGTCCGGTTTACCCGTCTAAGATTTTCCTTTATTTTATTTAATTTTCTTGTTCTGATTCCATGACAGTTTAGAAGCAGTAACATGGCTGGACCTCCACCTAGTCTCACGGTTCCTCGATACGATTCACATGTGTCCGATGATGATTCACAGACGACGGCGCCTGACCTCGAGCTCACGCTCGCCGCCCCGAGGCCGGATTTAGAAGAAAACAAGTCATCCTCGACAACCCTCCTGATCAGACCTATCAGTGTTACTTGACAAAGATGAAAGGAACACAATACTGTAGTAATTAGCAGTATTTAATTAATTAATCAAAATTAGTAGAATATTGCTTTCATTCATAGTCCATAAACTCAGCATAATTACAATATCTTAAGGGCTTAAAGTCAGAAATAGCAGCGAGTGCTGAGTTTTATATATGCGTCATCGTTGTATTACTGATATTACAACAAATTGAGGCATCTTTTGCACTCCATCATGCTCCAATGGAAGGCGATAAAATTTTGTATCATTTTTAAAGTACGTTCCGGCCGAGAACGGATGCGGGATTTATGTTAGGAGAACCTGAATTTTTAAAATTTAAAGGGGGACAAATTTGAATTTATAAAATTTTACGAAAATAAAAATAAATTTTTAATAAAAATATATAATAATTTTAAAATTTCATGTAGCGACTTTCCCATCCACACTTCTGATCTATCCCTAATTACGATACTCAACATGATAATATCAAGCACATCAAATTTTAGAATCTTTTTATATATATATATATATATATATATATATATATATATATATATATATAATAAAACGGATATATATCACTTATTTTTTTTTAAAAAAAAGTTAAATTTCTTCATCAAACAATCCGTATAACAATTTTTTAAGGGTAAATTACATATTAGTACGTAGATTATCAGTTTTGATCAACTTTAGTAACTAAATAAACTGAAAGTCTGCGGATCACATCTGTAGGCATCTGCAACAGAAGAGGTAGACCAAAAGTCTGCAGTCTGCAAGAAGAAGACTGTTTGCTTTTTAACGTCTGCAGACTGCTAAAATAAACTGAAATATAAATAAACTGATTTTTTAAACTTAAAAGAGTTTTCCAATATTGAGATTTAAATAATTTTAGTTTTATAATACTGAGATTTAAATAATTCATACAACTACAATAATGTAATTTTTAGAAAAACAAACACCACCTTATTAATTTTGTTATAAGTCTCACATAATCACATGCATTATTAGTTTTACAAGTTTTATAGAATAAAATTTATAAATGATCATTAAATTATATAATTTTTTAAATATGCAATTATGTAATACTTTTAATTTTTTAAATATATATTCATAATTTATTTTTATAATTATATGATATTTTTAGAAAATATTTTTTAATTTATCAAATTATTTTATGATTATTTTTTATTTAATTGTGATTATATTTTAAAATTTTAAAAACATAATTTATAATTGTTTATATTTTAAAATCTTAATTATCAAACAATTAAATCATTTTTTATTAAGCAATGTGGTTTAAATACTTACATTTTGTATAAAAAATTTAAATATAATTTAAAAATAACAAATCCAAAAAATATTATATTTAAACTTAAATCAAAATAATCAAAATAAATATAAAATTTTAATAATATATAAAATAATTTATATGATATAAAATTAAATATCTATAATATAATATTAAAAAATTAATATTTAATTTATTTAAAAAATTAATATTAAAATTAAAATCAAATATAATATAATATAATATAAAATTAAATATAAAACCTCTTTGAAGAGGTTAGAAGACGTTTGCAGACGTTAAAAGAATTTATATCTTCTAAAAAACAAACGGTCTGCGAAATCCAATGTCTACGCGTGGTCTGTGCAGAGCGTAGACATAAAAACTTTGCATACATTACACAATAAAAATAAACACTGCCTTAGTGTACTGCAGCGCTCTGATGAAGCTTGCAGTACCCGATCGTTGAGGTGAGAAGCTGGCTCTGATAGAACCAAGAACTTGGGAAGCACGATTGAGCTGAGAACCTGACTTGGCCAAGCGAGCTCGTCTTTGTCGTCACTCAAAAGACGAGAGATCAGCACCGACTCGGTCTCGTCCTCGGCTTTCAAAGGCTCGATCAAACTCAAAACTTGTAAAGGATTCACTCCTTTGTCCAAGCAAAGTTGGCGAATTTCATTTGCTAAAGCTACAGCTTTGAAGATAGACTCCGAGTTTATAACCCTGTCTCTCAAACTAACAGCCATGGTTTCGATTTCAGGCTGTAAAGGCACATTCGGAGCGCTAACCACCTCCATCTTGTCCTCGACTTCCTTCGAACCACTGCCTTTGGTTTTTTCAAATTGACAGAACAATGTATCGTCATTGTCCGAGCTATAAAAGCTCGGACAGAAATCAGCTCCGGATAAAGGTAGCCAATAGAGAAGCGGATCGTCAACTGCAGCCATGTCCTCGAGCCAATCCGGCATGGACTCGAACTCTTCGACTAATTCTTCACCAGATCCAGACTAAAACCAGAAATCCACTCGTTAACATAAATTGGTTCAGACATTCTATCGAGCAGATTCCGCGCTGATTTCTTGACCCAAAAATCAAGGCCTCGATCCTCGCTCAACAAATTACGTGCCAGCTTAGATAATTCCTTGGCATTAAACCTCTCATTCTCCAAAGCAAGAAACGGCAATATTCTTGACTGAACCATACATGGTAGAGTTTCTATAAACATAATCCTTAAGCGCAAAAGGAAAAAAGAATGAAAAAAGTGGTCAACTCATCGATCACTAGAATTCATAAAAGAACATAAAATAGAAGAAAGAAGTCTTCTTTCTTGCTTAAAATTTCTGGGTTTACCTTTTTGGTGTGGTGGTGAAGAAAAAGATGAGTCTTTGACAAATGGGTTGCAGGGTTTGGTAAGCAAAGAGAGGAAAGAGCTTGTCGTGTTTGGAGCTGTTGTTGACGATGACGCTGTTTCGCATTGAAATTTTGTTGCAGACAGAGAGATGTCTCGGTTTCTGGTGTTGGACTATTCATGAAAATGTCGAACAACGGAACCCATTGCTCCATTTTTTTTTACTTTCTTTTTTCGTTTTCTCGGATGTAAAAGCCAACGGGAAAACGCGGGAAAATCGAGAGGTTGAACTGGAAGTAACTCAAGCACCTAATCACCATTGGCATACAGTGATTGGGTACATGCAGGCCGACAGGGCTTTTCTTTTTCCAGGTTCTGTTATTTGGATTGAGACCCAAAGGCAACGGGCCAAATGGGACGCCATGAGAAGAGCCTCTAAAGCTTAAATGAGAAACTTGGGCTGTATATATATCCTTCAAGCCTCGTTAGTTCAACTTGCTCTTAGAAAAATTATTCATTTTGATCTCAAAAGTCGTTTATTTAACTTTGTTATTGATTTAAAAAGATGCTTTTTGATAGAAAAAAGCAATGATGTACACCACATATTTGCTGGGAATGCAAGATGTACACACATTGAGGTTGTTCATCTCAAACCTTGTTTGTTCTTATTTTTTATAGTCAGGGTGTTGTAAACCTCCGACAATCTGTGGCTGGCTAAACATTTGTGGACCCGACATTGTGGACGAACCCGGCGATTCCGGCCAGGGGCCCTGACTGCAATCTATGGAGCAATGACCAGACCCAACTCTGCCATAACTGCAATCTGCAACTCGTGCAAAGTTGGTCTGCTAGGGAACCTGAGGAAAGAATGGAGGAAAGCCAACATAATTCTCATTGTGGCAGTGGCGGTACTCATATGGGTCTTCATCATTGCTCGTAGTGCCTTAAAGAATGCGCCGAACGGAGGACCTCTTCCGCCGCTACGAACACGGTTGGACTTAAAACACCAAAAGAAGTTTGGAAGTAGGAGACCTCCATTTCTGATTTTCATTGGTGCTTAGGTTATGTAGAGGGTTAAAACAAACGAAACGGAATGTGTCGGGAGACGGTATAGAAGAAGACTAAAGCAGACCGTAGAATGTGTCTGTTGTATATATCCAATGTCTGTTTATATCTAGAAAATGCATGGACAGACAGTGATGAAGGGTGCTCATTTCACTCTGTAATTTATGAAAACAAGAATACAATCTCGAATGATCCACTTTTAGACCTCCTTGGACCTCAGACAACCTATGTTTCCCTTCTTAAAGTTGTGAAAAGAAAAAAGAAAAGAAAAGGAACTTATTGATCGGAAGAAAATCCTCATAATCTTTGGCCTGGTAGCTTCTTAAGTACTGAGCTTCCTAGAGTACACAATGTACATAGGATCTGAGCGTCCCGGATTTGGTGATATATCGACAGCCTGCAAAACAGAAGTGAACTTCCCTTTTAATAAAAGGTTCACATTAGTGCCTACCATCAACTTGGGTGCTTTAAACCGGATATATTTGTATGAATGCACATGGATTTACTTCAATGCAGGCTTAGGGAACTCCTAGTTTCAATTTGGAAACTTTGGGGCTTAATGAAAGTACATGCAACAACATATAATCCCAGTCAGCATCCGATGATATCTTATATAACAACATGTAGAGTTGAGAGTGCCGGTTAATGGTTGTCGAAGAAAACTTCTGGGGTGAAGAGACTATAATGTTGAATAGTATTTACCTGAGGAGGTTCAAAGCCACCAGCATAATGAAAATATGACCCGACAATCATAGCATGATCGGTGTCGCCAGTGGATGTCCAAATAGAGATTGCTTTTGTCCAAAAGCATCGGTTTGAAAAGCTGTTTACAGGAGGAGTTACATTTAAGTTCAAAACTTCTAAAAACTAACAGATAATTCTTAGAGCAGATTGTAAAAAGTTGAATAAAGTTTGATCTGAAACTTGGATGCAACCATTGGTTTAGAAGTAGATGAAAAGTTCACCTCATTATAGCCAATCCACCGGGCTTAAGAACCCGACACATCTCTTTGAAAACATGGAGAGGCTTCGTTAGATAATCGACACTGACCTACAAGATTACATCCTTAAAATGTCATCTTTACAAGCATGCTTGTTAAGGGGTAGGATGCAAGCATCCAAAACCTAAGAGAGTCGTGTTTAGCGGGTACGTGAGCCATTAAAGCGTAGAACAACGGAAGGACGAACAGAATCGCTGATGATGAGAAAGAAAAACACCCACCACATTTGTAATGACGTCGAATGAATTATCTTCAAACGGAAGCTTCGGATTCAAATTCAGGTCTTGCACAACATGCTCTGTTAGAACCTACAAAGGCAATAATTTGAGGCAATATGAATCTCCCCATCCCATCAACAATATAGGTAATACAGATAATATAACAGCTTTTGGATGATCAGATTTAATCCAACCATTAAAAACACGAGAAGAAATATCGTACTCACAGGATTTTGCTTGAGCTCGTCCTCGTTCATCCCCATCCCAACTATCCTTTCTTGCTTGTATCCTTTTGGAAAGTGACTGACCTAAACATGAAGCCGAAAACGGCGTCATGGGAATGCGATATATAGAGAGAGAAGCTTAAGTCAACATTAAGAATGTCTTACCCAACTACTGCAAATATCCAAGATGCTCACTCCTGGAGTATTGCTGGGAGGGAAAACCTCTGAATAGTACTTAGTAAGTGCGGCAATGGCTGCATCATCGATGTGTGTAACAAATCGTGGAGCTTCATAGAACAATGAATCAGGTGATCTGACACATACCAAAAGTTGTATTACAGCCATGAAAATATGAAATCCGGACAATATGCTTATCATTGAGGTCGAAACTCAGAAATGAGTAATGTTTGAAGCAATATGTGTTCAGATAAATGATATCTGCTAGACTGAACCACTCATTGAAGCATTAGATTCCGTAACCAACATGATATAGGATGATTGAAACACGAAGCCTTTCAGTCCACGAGAAATATCAGATTCATCCGACTTGTGGTTTAATCATAGTACTTCGTTTGAAGTTTGAACGAAGAGTTTTGCCAAACATGTCTCACTTTTACAACTTTCTTTCATCTAGAATAAGATGCATATCCTCAAGTAAAGTAGAAATTTAACATAGTGTTCAACTAAAAAGCATATTATAGTCTGGATTATTTACTCGTCAAAACGCTGGAAATCCTCGTCCTTGAAGGGGAACTGCTCTGGCCAATCCACATTCTGCAATGCCTGTGAAGTAAAGCAAGGGGATTGACATCTCGATAGAAAGAACAACAATTTCCATTCAAATTTTAGTGATGAACTAAAGCATTAGGACATTGATGAATTTTATAGGTTCAGTAGTGACACTGAAATCTCTAGAAATTAAACTAAAAGCATGCATTGATACATATTACGCATGTATGCAAGCGAGTGAAACCATTCACTACTACCAATTGCATAGCAGGCCATATTTGGTTTGGATAGAGCTCAAAATCATCTCTGGTTTAAGAAAGGGTAAACATCATTGGTTTCATTCTTAGTGATTCAATGCAATTGTTTCATATAAAGTATATACCTTTTAACCCTATATGCAGAATATGAAGAACTCAAGGACTGTAAGATTTCTTGCCATCCATCCACCTATACAATTTTCATAAAGTGCAAAGCTTTTCTTATATAATCAGCCAAGAACAACCCAGAAATTAATCAAAATTATAACCCAATAAACTTAATATTTATGATGATTATGCATCAACTAATGAGTCAAGAGTGTTTTTTTTTTCTTCAATTTTGCTGCAAACCCATTTTCAAAAGCTTAGAAATTGCTTTCTAAAATTGAAATAACCCCCAAGCTATATTCCTTCATAACCCACCTTTCAAAACACAGTGCTAGGGGAAAAAACCAAGAAACCAAATCAATGAAAGAAGAATTGTTAAACATTGAAAAATGAACCTGTTCAACAGTACTCTTTAGCCTTGCAGAAGCCATGAAAGACTTGCTATTGCCTGCCATGTTCATAAGCTGAGCCCAAAACGAAGCCCCTAAGCCTACCACCAATCTACGTGGCAGCCTACCACCATTGTTCCATTTTTTCAGCTTACTCGGAAGACTAGAAACAGAACTAACAGCCCGAGCATGAATGGTAGTAGAACTCAAACGTGAATGACTAAAACCAGTCAAAACAGGGAACCTTGGTTGTAGTTGAAGCCCGAGGATTGCCATCTTTGACTTCATCTCAACTTATATATAGGTATGCACTTTTATATGCTGTTACATGGAACATGATATGATAGCATGCACGTGGACCATTGACAACCGTAGGATCAAGGTTACCAAGTGAAAGTACACAGACAAGGGTGTGGTTTACATCATTTGGTTTGTCATCTTGTTTTAGTGGTTCATATTGGGAGTTACGTTATACTTATCGTCATCAGTTGTTTCAAAAGTCTACGGTTTCATCATTTCATTAAATGGCTGCAGACCAAATAAATTTAACCTCTAAATTCTGAATATCGGCACACAATATCCTTAAACATGGAAACTTGATCTCCACTTGAATTTTAAGCTCACGTATATAAACATGTAGAATAAGAATTAAAAAAGAATGCTGCAAAGCTAAGAATTTCTATTTAGTATTTCTTTTACTGAGAAAAATGTCAATATACAAGAATACTATTCAGATGAGCTGAAAGTGAGGGACAACCGGACTTGCAATATGCATAGAAATACACATGCTATCTGTGTTTAGGTTGACACGGCTGGCATTTCGATTGGAGCAGATACAGATTCAAGATTCAGGTCTTCAGCTCCTTTGACGGACAGGTGTTGCAATGCAGTTGTCTGTGCGTTTCGTTATTGTACTTTACTTTTTGAAACTGCAGATGGTAAGGAAATGGTGATGATCACTTTATCTTGAAAAATTGTGCAAGTGATATGCATGAGAAAGTTCGTCATCTATACATGCAAGTTTGGAAGCCTAGATGTGCATGAAGAAGAGTTCTTCTAGTATAAATCCCCTTACGATAGGTGAAAGATTCCGATGGTGACTCTGTGGTCGAGTAAGCGAGGCAATTATAGGGGGAGAACAACTAACTAATGGAATCAACTTACGTCTTAAGATGCAAACACGACCATGGGCTCAGAGGGGATAAAAGACTCACCTTGGCTAGTGAACATGAAAACGATTCCAGTTGCCCATGTGCTCCACGATAGAACTCAAAATAAGGAAGCACCTTCACATTCAAACATTTACACATAGGCTTATTCTCATCAAAATTTACTTTTAGGAACATAATTTCAGGGTTTTCTTGGGCTGTCCTGCAGAGCTGCCAGATTCATCAATGAGCAACATCAGGAAAGAAAAAAAAAACAACTCACCATTAGTTCAGAAACAACATCAACTAATTCAAAAGGAGATGACACCAAATTATCCAAACATCGATCATTTAAAGGGCACAGCTATTAGCCTGATTCAAGAAACTGTCATTGGATGCATTCTTCAATGGATGTGAGCGGCGGACTCAAAACCATTTCGGCACTCAAAAACTCTAGAGTAGAGTGAATGTCAATCATATTTGGTCCTGCATCCTTTTCTCACCATTTCAGCTGGTTCATTTCAGCGATAGCCGCATGAACCTGCAATAGAAGACTTGGTTACTGGTTCTCTACTCATGTACAGGAAATTAATCATAGTTTCTCGAAAGAGTATGGAGAAATGCAGTAAAGAAAACATTTCACATCTAATTAACAGTAAGGCTGACACAACTGGTGATAAATTGATGCTATCAACCATGAATCAAAAGAATGAGCCATAATAGCATAAGAAGCCCCACGTGAAGCTGCCTGACGAAATTGCAAGGTCTGAGAGACTCAAAATTTTAGCACAGAACTTTGGGATTAGAGGTGCACCGTATTGTCAATAATTCAACACGCTTAAATCCGATAATGGTAGATGCTGAATACCGATTCGCACTACCAAGTTAACGTGCCAGAAAATATCACCATCCAATATCATGTTATGGCAAAATGGAACTGCCAGCTCATACATAGATTACATAGGGATGATGAAATGAATTCAGAAGCCCAATTCCTAATCATTCTATAGTATTAATTACAGTAATCTTCTAAACATTCATTGTCAGACTTTGTTGGATACTTTTATTCAGTGGAGGAATTTAGTGATACTGTTTGAAGCCACCTTAAAACTTTAAAAAAATTAGGGTCTAAATAAAATTTTTGAAAATTTGAGAGACCTAATGAGAATTTTTAAAAATTATGGGAGGGATTTAGTTAAAAACATTCAAAATTTTAAAGCTTAATCTAAAATTAAAAAAATTGTAGGGGCCAAATTATTATTTTTTAAAAAATTAAGAGGCAAAACTATAATTTATTTAAATTTGGGGTGTGGCCCCCAGATGTCCCCATTTAGTTTTTTATGGATGCTAAAAGTGTGTAAGAAACGAGCATCATCGATTCAACGAGCGTAGGATTCAAAAATAATTTTTAGTTAACGATATAAAATTTTTAAATGATTTGATTAAATAAAATTTTAGGGGGAATATGTTCGTAAATTAAATAATTAATTGAAAAATTTTATATTTTAAGATGGACATATAATTAATAAAATAAGTAATTAAACTTTAAAAAAATTAGGGTCTAAATAAAATTTTTGAAAT